GGCGCCCTTGTTTTTATTTTCTAAAAGATTTTATTTATTTATTTATTTGTTTGTTTGAAAGAGAGAAAGAAAGAGAGAGCATGAGCGGGGAGGGGCAGAGGGAGTGGGAAAGGGAGAAGCAGGCTCCCCACTGAGCGGGGAGCCCGACGCGGGGCTTGATCCCAGGACCCCGGGATCATGACCTGAGCCGAAGGCAGACGCTTAACCGACTGAGCCACCCAGATGACCCCAAGACATTTTATTAACTGGGAAAGGGGGAGGGGCACGATAGAGTTTTCACTGGGTACTCTTTGATACCTTTTGAAGCTCGAACCATGAGAACTGTTACGTATTCAACAATCATACTGCTGTATGCACACTCTCTGTAGGAAGCAATTGAGGCAGGAAAAGTTAATTCTCCCACTCTGTGCATGAAGTAGCTGAGGCCCGGAGAGGTCAGGGCGAGGGGTCCACCCACCAGGCCTAGCCTCACGCAGACTGTCTGGGCAGGTACCACAGCATGACGCGGCAGCTGCTCCGCAAGGCTGACGGAGTGGTACTCATGTACGACATCACCTCCCAGGAGAGCTTCGCCCACGTGCGCTACTGGCTGGACTGTCTCCGGGTAAGCGGCCATCGTAGCCACCTGCAGATGGCTGTTGGGGTTGGCCCCGGTCTGTGGAGTCAAGAGGGAACTTGTATCCTGCCCATGCCCCCTTTTTTCCCAGGATTACAAATGACACGACAGACATGTGGGTGATGTGACCCACTGAGGGCATGTGGCTGGATGAGCTGGGAGCATAGTCATAGGAAGAAACCACAACCACATAGTACAGCCTCCAAAACAAACTACTTCCTTTATCCTCCGAACATTTCTTTCCTGTATACAGCAGCTAGGTGATGTCTTCTTAACGCCTGGGGATAATGCAAGTCTCGTACCACTCTAGGTGACAATTCCTCTGTCCACACATCTCTAGTTCTTTCCCCCATGTACTTAATTGAGACATATATACTGAAATTCTGCAGTATGTACTAGTATGTGCTAGTGCACAGCAGAGGGGTATGAAAAAAGACATGTTGTCTTCTCTCTGGAAGTTTCTAGTCTAGTTGAAGAGAAGCAAAAGCAGTGAGATAAGGTAATGTATGAAGGAGGCTGGGCTCTGAGTCTGACAGGACCTAGGTTTGAATCCCAACTACCCTGCCCCAACTCTGTCATCTTGGACAAGTGACTTAACTTCTCTGAACTTCAATTTTCCAACTTCTCTCATACAGTTATTAGGATTAACTGATAAAATTGCCTTCAGAACAACACTGGGTATATAGTAAGCACTCAGTAAACAGAAGCTAGTCGTCGTCATCGTTGTCGTCGTCGTCGTCATGAAACCATTAGGAAATGAGCCAAGCCAGCCTGTGTAATCAAGTGCTGGGCTGTTCAGCACAGGCAAGAAGAGAGGAGCATGGGCAGGAACAATCCTGGAAGGCTTCCTGGGGGAGGCAGGTTTGAGGCTGGCCTTGGAAAATGGGTGACACGTTTGCAGGCAGAAAGGAAGGGCAGACTCACTGTAGATTGAAGGGAAGATGTCATGGGTGGGGGAAGGGTGTGGAGTGAGTGTGACATGGAAAGGCGGCGGAGGGGGTGTGTACCCTGTCAGCTTCCTGGAGGGCAAGGCCAAATCCAGCCAGGGCCTGGCACAGCAGAGCAGGACCTCAACATGTGTGGCTGAGGGCATGTGTTCAATACGCAGGAATCAGGGCCCGACGGGGTGGTCATCCTTCTCCTGGGAAACAAGATGGACTGTGAGGAGGAGCGGCAGGTGCCCATCGAGGCTGGGCAGCAACTGGCCCAGGTGAGCACCTGGACATCAACCCCCCACCCAGCCTGGACTGGACAGACCCCTCCCTGGAGTGTAGTGAACAGGTCCCCCTGGCCTGGGCAACTGAGAAGGACTCACTGCCCGTTCCTGCCCCTGCCCTGCCAAAGGCCGGGTCAGAGTGGACAGTAGCCTGGCCACCTCCGCCTCCCACCCACCCTGTTCTTAGGCCCAAACATAAGGCTGTCTCGGCGGGCATGACACTGACCCTCACGTTGAATTAGCAGATCCCCACACAACATTCTGACCTATATAAAAATATCTTCAGAGTAAAAAAAAAAAAAAAAGTTTTAAAAGCTTCACTTAAAATTCCCAATCAAATCTGAATTTTCTCTCCAGTCTCTAATTAACAGAACATTCCTTCTAATTTATTCTATCTTAGGACCCAAATTCTTCCCTGGCAAGATTGCATCAAAAGCCCCACCAGCAGACAGTGGATACTATTTATTTATGAATAGAAGTTGACCACATTCCAGAAACTCCTTACCCCACCTCTGCCACAGCCCCTCTAGGCATTTCCATCTTGTATTTCTTTCCCTTTCTCCTCTCCTTTCTCAGAGTCATGAGGTCATCATTGTGGCTCCTGCTTGGCGGGTTTTTTTTTCCCCAGTTAAATGTAGTGGCTCATCTCTTTGACATAGTAATTCCTCCTCTAGCAATTTATCCTAAGGAAAGAATCAGAAATAACAATCCCTAAGAGAATAGCATAATGGATACCTGCGTATAATGTATAATCAAGCATGTTTATATGAGGATGTTCTTCACAGCATTATTTATAAGAACAAACATTTGGCAGCAGTTGGTGGTTAAGTTGTGGAGGTTCATGTGAGAGGCTGGCATTTGCCATTAAGAATCCTGTCCCGGAAAAATGTCCGAGGGCGTGGAGGAAATGCTCACAATGAAATGTGGACTCAGAAGAGCAGCTGCCAGCCGGGGTTTAGGTTGGGTTGAACCCTGCGAGGTTGCCCATACTCCACGGGGCCTGCCTGGGCAGCCGGTTCCGGGGGTTTAATCCCACAGCGCGATGATGTGGAGCCCCCTCGCCTCCAGGAAAAGGGTTCCATAAAACAGAATGGAAATATATATCAAACGCTAACAGGAGGGGTTTATATTTTGCTCTTACACTTTTTGCATACTGTATTTTCCAATATTCCGGCCCCTCCCCAGCTGAAATTTTTTGATGTTTTTGAAATCAAAAAAGCATAACTAACAGTTTAAAATGTCCCCAAGGGACGTTTCTCCAAGTTGGGACACAGGCTTCCCACCATCACTCCGAGCGAGGGCTGTGGAAAGTCGCCGGGGTGGCATCTTTGACCGGTGGCCAGCGCGGGGAGGGGGCGCGGGGGGGGGGGGAGGGGCAGGGCTGCCTCCCCCTACCCTCCCCCCCGTCGGGGTTGGCCCAGGGGTGCATTGGGTGGGGCTCTGTCTGCTGGCTAGACCACCAGGGCTGGCCGGGGCGCTCAGAGGGCTCTCCCAGGGCCCCCACACCCCTGTCTGCCTGCAGGAGCTGGGGATCTCCTTTGGAGAGTGCAGCGCTGCCCTGGGTCACAACATCCTGGAGCCCGTGGTGAACCTGGCCCGGTGAGTGCCGCCCGCTGCCCCCCACCCAGAGTCCCCTGGGCAGCCTCCAGAGCCCTCCTGTGGGAAGGGAAGGCCCGCTCTGAGGAAGCACTGTGAAGCCACAGAGAGAAGGAGAGAAAGCACTGTGCGGAGAGTCTGAGTCCAGTTCTACCAGTCCCGCTGACTCCTGAAAGGCTCGCGAGCTCTCTCAGCCTCAGCCTGCTTTCTCATCTGCGCAGTGCAGTGAGACAGAGGGTCACCTTCCTGCTCTCCACCTTCTAGTCACTTCCACTAGATGTTTTTTTTTTTCAACTTTTTATTTTCCTTTATTTACTTAAGTAATCTCTACACCCAATGTGGGGCTCCCACTCATGACCCCGAGATCACGAGTCGCATGCCCTTCCAACTGAGCCAGGCAGGTGCCCCAACTTCCACTAGATTTAGAATAACATCCAAACGCCTGGAAATGGCCTTCATCTTGGAGGTCCCGTCCCCACGCACACACATGTGCATTCACTCTCTCAGCTTCAGCCCCTCAGAGGGGCCGTTCCTGACCACTCTCCGTCCCACCACTCTTCTGGATCCCTGTCCCCTGTTTGTGTCCTTCAAAGCCCTTCTGGACAAACTGTAATTATGCGTGCATCTGTCCGGCTCCCAGTTGGGGGCTGCCTCCTGCCCGAGGCTGTGGCTCCAGGAGGGCAGGGCCGGGTCTGTTTTGTCCAGCCCCCTCCCGGCACACCCAGGGCCTGACACATACCGGGAGCCCAATGAATGAAGGAAATGAGTAAGGTGGAAGGGGTCCTAGGCTAGATGACCTGGAAGGCCCTTCTGTGACAAAGCAGCCAGGGTGAGTCTGCGAAACGGCTCACCTGGTCACTCCGTGATGTCCTCTGATGGACAACTGCTCAACAGCTTCCCTTTGCTTTAGGACAAAAGCCCAAGTTCCTGAATGTGGCTTCCAGGCCCCCGGGGCCCTGAACCCCTGTAGCCTCGAGGCTTCTTTCTGGCCAGTCTTTAGGCTTTGTGATTCGGCGGCGCAGTGGTCCGCACTCAGTAAATATATCATGAGTGAATGAATGAATGAGCTTCTTTTATTTCCCCAACCCCCAAGCTCTCTGTCTCTCACTGAGCCTTTGCCCTCTGCCGGGAATGCACCTCCCCTTGCTGCTAGCGAACGCTTCTCCACTGCTTGGTCTCAGCTCTGACACTGCCTCCTTCCTCCGACGACCTTCGAGGACACGTCCCTCTGTGTGCTTCCTCATTCCTGGGTTCTGATGGCCCCTTCTCTCTCTGGCTCCTCATCTCTCGAGGCAAGGACATGCCGGCTTCGTTGTCCTATTCAGAGTCCCTTGCACAGTGTCTGGCGCACAGGAGGCTGGAAAGAATGCTAGGAAAGAGACAGAAGACCAAAGTCTCCATGGCCCCATTTTTCGGGTGCTGTGTGGGATGCAGCGCAAGGGCAGGGGAAGTGGGAAGAGAGGAAGCTCGGGGAGCGCAATCCCCCAGCCCCACAGCTGCACCCACGGGCCCCTCCCTGCTGCCCTTGGAAGGGGAGACAGAGGACTGATGTCTGGTGTCATCATACAGGGCCCTCAAGATGCAGGAGGACCGCCTGAAGGACTCACTGGTGGAGGTGACCCCCAAGAGGCCACAGAAGAGAGCTGAATGCTGCTTCTGACCCTCCAGCCCAGCCAGGGGTGGGGGGACAGCCACCCCTGGGGTTTCCTGTCCCACCTTGCCAGGATGCAGCCATGACAGAGATGGCCAGCTTGGAAGTTCAGGACAATCCCCCTCAGGTCAGGACTTGGATCCCAGGGCAGGGGCTGTGCTAAGGCTGCCCTTTGCACGCTGAAGGATTTGAGGGGGTGGTGGGTAGTGGTGGTGGTGGTGAAAACTTTCAAAAGAAAGAAAAAGTCAAAAATGAATTAAGGAAAACACACCATATTATTGGCCACACATCTCTGTGGGGTAAAATCATAGGGTGAATGTGTGGGGGTGTTATTGCTCTTTTTATATGTATTTGTATTTCTAGATCTTCTGCAACACCTGGGTATTCCTTACATAATGCGAAATATAACTAAGTGTCACAGGGAGGGAGGGAAAGAAACTTTCCGAGGAGCTTGCTTTGGGGCTGATTACCAAGTGCTGCAACCTGTTCATTATGAGACGCTTTATTAAAGCAGTCCCACTGTTCCGTGCCTGCGAAGCTCGTGAACGTTGTCTCACTCACCACCTGTTTGCGAGCATCAAGTTTCCTCCGAGCAGAATCCGATTCCTGAGGAAGAGCAGTGTTTCGATGGCCCCTGATAGGCCCTATTACCCCTGTCTCCCTGAGCCCCGACCCCACTCCCTTTCCCCAAGACCCTGCTCTAATGTCGTGATGTTGCCTGGTGCAGCCCTCTGCCCTGAGGTGTGGCTGGGGGGTGGTTGGGGGGGCCTGCGGAGCAGCGGAGAAACTAGATTCAGATCACTCATGGGCTCCCCTTTGGAGCTTTGGTTGGAGTTCCCAGAACCGCCTACCATTCGCCTCCTGGAAGGTGGCTGCCCATTATAAGCCGGGCTGGGGTCCTCAGTGCCCTTAAGGAGGCTGCTTTGAGAGATGGCCCCTCATTGTTGGACTGTCTTCTGTCATGTACATTTGCTGCAACTATTGTCCCTGTCATCCTACTGTTAACCGCAATGATGCTCGCCACGTCCTGCAGCCCGGCGCGTGCAGGACTCTGACAAGTAATCACTCAGTACTGGGGAATCAGAGGAAACCCCAGTTTCACAGAGAGACAAGCAGAGACAGTTTGAGAGAAAGAGGTACAGAGCGAGAGACTGCAGGAGAGAGAGAGGGCAGGAAGTAGAAGACAGAGCCTTCCGACTGGCTTAATCAGTCTCCAGTCTTTGCCCCTACCCTCCTGCTCAGTTCCAAAAGGGACACCTCTGCAGCAGTGAGCTCTTTGTCGTTAGCGGCATACAAGGGGAAGTCGGGTGACACTTTGCCAAGAGGCAAGGTAGAAAAGATTCAAGCATCAGAAGCCTGAGGTTGGATCAGATGCCCTAATGGGCCCCATTCAGCCTCTAGTCAATATGCAGGATGATTTCGTGATCAGCTAGTTCTCTTACAGGCCTCCCTCACGGATTCTTTCTTACCTTCTCCCTTCCTGGATCCTCTCTGTCAGCCCACAAGCCTCCCCTTGCTCTAAGCAGTTTCTAGGCTGTAGTAGGTTCTAAGACAGACAGGCAGACAGACAGGGAGAGGTGGGCTGGAGTGAGTGATGCCTGGCCACGGGCGGGGGTGGGGGGGCCGGTCCTGCTGTTGCTAATGGCTCTCTCTGGGGTCTGGGGACCTGGCAGGCCCCAAAATCTCTGCCCTGTAGGCCAGCGAGTTAATGAGGCAGGTAAGCAGGGTGTGATTCCTGGGGGAGCCAGTAGAGCAGATAGAGCCCCCCATGTCCTTCGGGGAACCTGAAGGGGTCCCCCAGGCCTGCCCCTCCCATCTCAGCTCTGCCCCAGCTGTGGGCAGCCGGCTCAGGTTCCCTAGAGGTGGGGTGTGAGAAGGGACCGCACACCTGCCCAGAACCGTCTCTTAGCTTTCTCTGGCAAGATCCAGCTTTTGTGCGGAGCAGAGCTGTGGAGGGGCCGCCAGCCCTGCTTGGTGTCAGAGGCCCCCAAGTCAGCAAGCAGGGCCCAGGAACCTCAGAGCAGCACGATGCACGTGAGAGCAGCAGGAGGGACCCAAGGTAGATTTCAGAGTGAACTTCCAGGCAAGTGGTGAGTTCTCAGGGCATGTCTGCCAAGGGGGCTCTGGTCACACCTTAGCTTGAGGCTGATTAAGAAAAGGAAGGCCAGACTGGGCTGATGGGGCTCAGGATGTAGAGTGAGAAGGGGAGGGCAGGGGGACAAAATGGAGCCTGGACAGAGGCATTAGGGGAGAGAGCTTTTTGGAGCTGAGGGTGGGCAGGACCTAACAGCCCACATTTATAAAGCACCTACTTCGTGCCAGGCACTATTCTGAGCACCTAACTTGTCCTACCCCATTTAATCCTCACATCAACCCTAGGAGATGGGGCTTGCTTATCCCCACTTTACAGATGAGGAAAATGAGGCACAGAGGATAAGTAGCTTGTCCACAGTCAACGCAGCTAGAAAGTGGTACAGCGGGGCTTTGAACCCAGGCCCCAGCAGCCACAAGCTTCACCACGAAGTTAGGGGGCTTCTTATAGGAAGGTAAATATTTATATAAATATTTATTTATTGAGTTAATGGGCAAGTCTCGTCCCAGGAAAGCTAGGGATTCTGGCCTGGTTTGTGGGGTGGCAGGTGGAGATACTGGCCCCTGGGCTGACTCGGGGATGTCTAGACCCCATTTCTCAGCCTGACCCCTCTCAGTCGGGGGCTCCCCATGTCCTCAGCATGTAGGATGGAGTGAGGGTGAGGAGGAAGCTGGAGTGCGGCTCTTCCCCCAGCCCCTGCCAGCTAGCCAGCACAGCACAGCTGGAGAGGGCAAGCTGCTCTGCCCTGGAGAGTCCTCTGGGATCTTTCGAAAATGCCAAAGCCCAGACCAGCTAAATCCCGTCCCTAGGGTGGGACCTGTGGATTAGTATTTTTGAAACTTCCCAGGTGATCCCACTGTGCAGACAAGCTTGGGAACCCCTGACAGGGGCTTCACACCTTCTCAAAGCCCCTGCATATCCATCTTCTTGCTGAACCTCAAATTAATATCTGCCTGTTTCATAGGCAGGCAAGGTTTTGTTTTTTAAAAAAAAAAATACATATATATATGGGGCGCCTGGGTGGCTCAGTCGTTAAGCGTCTGCCTTCGGCTCAGGTCGTGATCCCAGGGTCCTGGGATCGAGCCCCGCATCGGGCTCCCTGCTC